TGGCATGCTCTTTGCCTGGATCCCTTTCCCTTTGCCCAGTTCCCTCAGCCACATCAGCTGTGGAAACCTTGTCTCCAGCTGGAAGGATGAGGTGTGTGGGAACTCTCCAAAGCTGCATGTTGGTGACAGCATGGGGGGCTCAGCTGAACAATTAACACCTTTTATTTTTAATACAGCTAAATGTAAGGTTGTTCAACTAGGAATGAAAATTTTAGGCCTTACTTATATAAGATGAAGGCTGTGTTTAGAAATCATGATTGAGATAAAGGACTGAAGGATCAGGGTGAATAATCTTTGTAACATGAACCCTAAGGAGGGTGTATTAGCAAGACAAGAGCCTAAGCAGTCCTTGATTGTGTGAATAAAGGTCAGCCACAAGCAGGGCCACTGTTGCCACCACATGTAGCAAGACTGTATACAGCTTTTGTAAGTAAACCAAATCTGAAAAGTAGGAATTGTGCTTTTCGGGATGTTTCAAGACACATTGTTTTTAGCCCTGCAAACCAAAGTTGTTCGATACTGCTGTGTGAAAGCTGAAGAACTCCAAGGCACTCAAAGCAGCCTGTGGCAAGCAGTGCTTTCACTCCCCTGGGACATAAATTCAGTGGCTGGATTGAGTGTCCCAGACTCCAGGGGTGCCTTGGAGCTGGGGTACATCTTGGGACCTGGTGCATCTGAGCCTCCTGATGGTCCCCAGCCACTGCCACCTCTTTTCCCAGCCACGGCAGAGGTCCTGTCCTGTGGGAATGCTGCCACAGGGCCTGGACATTCTTGTCCTTTTGGAGAGTCCATCAGGACACCGAGATGGTGGCCATCCCACCAGGCCATGGGTCAAGGTTTGAGGGTGTCTATGTGAGGGTTTGGGTCAGGAGTTTGAACTCAAGACTTCCATGCCAGGAGCAGTGCCAGGAGAGCTCTTGAGCAGTGCATGGTGAACTACAATGAGCTCAGTTTAGGTCCACTGGGCTTCAGCGAGTTACAAAAGGTGCAATAACTCCAGCTGGAGACAATCAACGTAGAGCATGGCTGGTTTAGTGACTAGGTCAATCCCTTGGATTACCAGAATTAAAGATTTGAGATCCCTGCTTTGAATCTGGATGATTTGTACACGTATCAGCCACATTCCTAGACAACATTTGCATTGTTGGTCTAATTCTGAGACAGTTTGACAACCTCCTGTAAACCCACGGGCTTCCATGGAAAGCTTTGTTTTACACTGAGAAAGGTGTTTCAAATAAAACAGTATCCACAATCAGCTCTGTTTCATATTTTTAAAAGCATATTGACAAACTGAGAAGTCTAGAAAAGAGCTACAAGGAATACTGGAGTCCTGGAAAATCTTTTTTTGCTGTAAAATGTCTTTTTCGTTTATCTTTAAAGGTAAATGGTGCCTGTTCACTGTAGATAAGTGCCTATGAGAGCAGCAGATTTACTAGAAGACAACATTTTAACCTTCTGAAAATATAAAAATCTGCAAATGGCTCTCATGGCTGGGAGCTGAAGCTACTCAAATTCAGAGCAGAAATCAATGGCAAATGTTTAAGATAAGAATAATCAATCATTGAAGCATCTTTAAGAGAAATGGATTAGACCTGCCAGCAAACGCTGTCACTAAACCAGGATTATTTTTAAAATGTCTCAAGATTCAGCAAAAAGTTTTTCTATAAAATAAGTTTTAATTCAAGTGGAATTTCTGAACTTGCAGTAGGAATCACTTGATGGTAACTCATGGTATCTCTTCTGCAGAAGGTCAGAATAGATGACTATTGAAGTTAAGGTTTTGCAACTATTTTCTCCTCATAAATTAATATAAAATTAATGATAATAAAAAATACTAGGTCAAACAAGTTTTCTCACTAGACATTCTGTTAAAATCTACTTAAATGGAACAAGGTTTGTTTTTCTATTCCTTTCCTTAATTTTTCCACTTACTAAACTATAATATAGGCAATTTTTCAGATATTTCTTTCTGTTTTCCTGAAAATATTTCAATTATTCATTTAAATTTTTGACTTGTTTTTCCCCATGTACACTTTTTGAGAAACATTTGACAAATAGCTCTGCTTGACTCAAAAATGTATTTTATTTTTCCCACCACTAAAAGAATCTATGACTTATCATCTGAGCTCAAATCTTAGGATTTTGAGAAATGAATCTGACCTCACACTCTGGTACATTTCCCCATACTGAAGCCTGGCTGACATGTCACTTTTTTCCCTTGAGGACTTGTTAAATAGCAGTCTTAGTTCTAGAGAGGTGACAGAAAAATAATTTGTAGATTCTTGTTTATATGGATGTTCAGTAGTTATGCTTAATAAAGAGTAGCAAATTGCCATGGTAAAGGCAGATAAGTAGCTGATGAAGGCTAATTAGTATCAGACCACCTCATTGCTAAATAGGGTTATAACTGGCGAAAAGAGAACACAAATGATGAATTTCACTGGTATTAGGGATGATTTCAGCATGGGAAATAGATTGTCCTGCCCTGTTTCACTCTTTTTCTAGTGAGAAATGTATAATATTATTTTAAGGGACAGTTCCCTGTACCCATGAATGTTTCACAGAGATGAATGGCAAAGGCTATGAGAAGTTTTTAACCATAAATATTTGATGATTTGTTTTCAAAATATCTTCTTTGTTTCCTACTGAGCATGCCATAGATGAGGAAAGCTCCCAGGGACATGTAGAAGTTGTGCACCTAAAAACCCAGAGATATCATTCTGGAGTGGCATCCCTCGTGCTTTCTTGCTGTGTGGTGAATCCAACACACTGTTAAAAATACAGTACTCCTTCATTTCCTGTAAAATGAGAAGCTTGCAAAAGGGTTAAGCTTCAAAGAAGGTTCAGTATGTGCTTTTGATTGTCTGAATGTCAGTCTGGATCACTTTATTTCTAAAAGAAATAGTAACATCTTAAAAATATCTCAGCTGGATGACTGTAGTAATCACCTCATCTTATTACTTTCAAAAATTTGCATGTTGTGACTTTAGAAGAGGAAAAGGGTTCAGAATCCACCTTCATTTGTGTTGGCATCCCATTTCAGATAGTCCCAAAAATGAACAGAGTTCAAATAGCCCCTGAAGCTTAGTTTCCAGGAAGATTCCTGCCTATGAGAGAATGAGCTCATGTTCAAATGCAGCCTCTTTCACAGTGAGAGCATCACCACTGGGATCTCCAGGATTTTAGAAGCTTGTGGCCCTGAGCACAAGACAGTGTTGCCAATAGGTCTTTCCTGAAGGTGGAAGCTCAGAGGTTGAAGGAGAGGAAGGAGGAAGGGCAGGGCTGGGGAGGGTTGGGTGTGAGCAAGAGCTCAGTTTTTATTCAAGAAATACTGCTGAACGATGAAACCTGAGCTGATTCATCATCTCAGCTCCCAGGCCTATTTCTGCGTAATTCTGATTAGTCTACTTGGTGGTTTTGGTCAGCTGTTGGATCAGGTTATACAGAACTGCATGTGTGTCCTGGTTTCAGCCAGGGCAGAATTGATTTCTTCTCATTACAGTGCTGTGTTTTGGAATCTGAATGGCAATGGTGTTGATAACACACTGATGTTTTGAGGTTTTTGCTAAGTCATGTTTATCCTAAATCAAGGACTTTATTTTCCCTCATCTCATGCTCTGCCCTTGAGGACCTGCACAAAAGAAACTGGCAGGGAGCACAGCTGGGATGGGTGACCTGAAGTGACCAGAGGGATGTTCCATACCATGGAATGTCATGCCCAGTATATAAACTGGGGGGAGTTACCCAGAAGGGTGGCTCATCCAGGCTGGGGAAAGGGGGTCTTGCATCAGTCATCAAGTGGTGAGCTACTGCACTGAGCAATTCCAGAGCTGGAGAGAAAAAACCTGTTTGGATCCTGATTTGAAGAGCCTGGAGCACTGGACAAGTGGCAGAGCATCGTGGGTGACAGCCTGGGCTCCCCAGCTGCAAGAGCTGCCAGTGAAGAAGCTCCTCCATGGGAATGATTTATCTCTGCAGTGCATTTCCCTCTGACTAAGCAGCAGGCAACCATCATCTTCAGCAAATGCATTTGTAAGGATGAGTGTGCCATGGGGAATATGCTGTCTTCTCAAACACTGAAGGAAAGGGAAATTTTCTTCTCTAGCCTATAGCTGTAATTATTCTGTTATGTTTGAATTACTCCCAATATACGTCATGAATTGGAATGGACCTTATAGGATGTCTCCAGATGCAGAGCTTCCAAACATCCATCTAGCTCATGAATAAACTGAGTCACATAAGGAGCTGGGGACTCAATGCCAGACCTTTTGGTACACTTCCCTTTAATGACAGGGCACTGAAAAGCTCCCTTTGTAAGGAGCTGGGTGCCTTGAAGAGGAAGACCTGAGATCTAGCTGCTTGCTGAGAAGGAGCTGTTTTTTTGATTAACTGGAGGCAGTGGGGAATAAAAGAGGTCTTGAGAAGGCTGAACACTTTCTTCTAGTTTGTATTTCTAGGTAAAATTTTTTCCCATCTTGCTGCAAATTTCTCAGTCTTGAAGCAATACTTAGTGGCCCAGGAATGCTTACCTACCACTAGAAATCCTTGGTTCATATGTCTGTCTGTCATGTCATGAAGGCTGAAACATCCATTTCCATTTAAATCCATAAGAACAACAGACTTATCTTTTTTATTATTATTTTATTTTTTTCCTTTTTTCAATGCTCAGCAGAGTGACTACCCAACCTTCTGTCTAGTGCAGTGGAAATAAAAGGAAATAAACCCAAGAAAAGCTCAGTACAAGTGTTCCCTCCTGATGCCCAGCCTGTCCCTGGCCAGTTTCCCCCTAGTTTCTATACTGAGCATGATGTTCTATGGTATGGAATATCCCTTTGGTTATTTTGGGTCAGCTGTCCTGGGTATGCTCCCCCCCATCTTCTTGTGCACCTGCTTTCTGAAAAGTCCTTGAGTTTGGGTAAACACTACTTAGCAACAACTTAAACATCAGTGTGTTAGTAACAACCTTATTCCCATACTAAATCCAAAACACAGCCCTGTAACAGCTACTGAGAAGAATATTAACTCTCCTGGTTGAAACCAGAGCAGACAGGCAGAAAACTCATTTGTTTATGAGTTTTTGAATCCCAGCAGGTCTTGTGGATGAACAGAGACCCTCTATAGTCAGTACTCCACAGGCAGAGGCAGCTCTAGCAATGCAGCTGCAAGTTTTTAGGCACTGAGGATGTTTTACCAGTTCTCTACTTACTCCTCTACCTCTGCTCCTGTCACTGCACAAGGAGTCTTGAAAACTCAGAGTCCTTGCTCAGCTCCCATGTAAGTTGTTCTTAGCTCATTTAAGTGTTTTTCTCTGACATTTTGTATGGCTGTTTCTGTGTCCTTATGGCTAAGATCTCGGGCATGTGAGGAATGGTGTGTTGTCTTCCTGTGTTATAAATTTTGCTGAAGCTTTTGGACTATTTGTTTGTTATGTCAGAAGTGTAGGCACAGGAGAAATGAGACCTGTTAGGTATTGCTGACTTCTGCTGAAGATGTTACATCATTTTTTCTCCTTTCTGTGGTCTAGTGACCTGAAGTCAATCACCTTTCCCTTCTGCTTTGTTCACTGCAATCTCAGTATGAGAAATGTCCTGAAGTCGGGATGAAAGTTTCTTTTCACTACAGAACATAGCTAAGACTATGTAAAATAACTTGTATATTATTAGGAAAAACAACCAGGAAAAGAAATCTTGTCTTGCTTTTTTTCTGAACATAAATGTTATATCTGTCTAACTCTTCTATTTTTTTCCATACTTGCCTTAAAATCAGGTTTATTTGCTTCGTGTTTGCTACAGTTGCCTTTTTCACATACACCAACAGCAAGCTGTTAAATTAACAGAAGAAATGGGATACCTCACTCAAGTTTCCTCATATTTCCCTTGGAAAGCACCCAACATTTTGGGGCTTTTTGACCAGCAAACAGGATTTTCTCCTTCATGGGAGCCAGCCACAGATACTTTTTTCTGTGCTTTGTTCTCTGTGCTCCTTTAGCTGTTCTAATTTCCTCTCTTTCTCCTGAGGACCACAGAGTAGTTAATCCAGGTAGCTGAACACAAAGGCTCCTGGGAAGCTGAGGGCTCTGTGCAGCACTGCCACTCTGCACCAGGCAGTGCCCACGAGGGGCCCCAACCCCACTGAAAACTCCTGATTAAGACACAGCAGCATCTGACACCTGATTGCTTTGTGTGGGAGTTCTCAGTGAAACATCCTGAGAGTGTAATGACTTCTGCAATTGATGGCACCTCTTGGAGCCCTTCTGGTTATTTAATTGATTGCAGGCTGGAGCTAAGGAAAACGCAGCTTGTGGGTGCTTGGGCTGTTTATTAGCCATGAATAACCACGTGGGTGGACAGCTGTGTTGTGCTGATCAATACACAGAGCTCTGAGACAGGGGCACGGGGAATTTGGCACCCAGGCTGTGCAGGGAGAGAAGAGTTTCCTTCTTGCCTACAAAGATATTTTTTGCCCTTACTCAGCTGGCCTAAACTCTTACAAGGGTCAACCACTCCCAGGTGTCTGGAGGGACATGTTTGTACCAGGCATGAAAGACAGGCTGTGTGCTGATGCTTGAACCACCTCCTCCCAGCTGAGGAACTGAACAGGATTTTGAAAAAGTACTGCCCAGATTTTTTTGAAAAAGTACTGCTTTTCACTGTTTTCCTGAGGTTTAAAATAGCAGATTTCTCTTTTGCTCTGCTCAAACCTCACTCACTGCACAATTATAGTTGAATACAAATTTTAAATATTGAAAAATGTGTTTGTACTGATGAGACAGTAGTTATTTATACTTCAGCTTCTGTGCCTGCTTTTGTGATATCTAGTATGTCAACATCCTGGCCTTCAGGTTTTTTAGTTGTACATCTGTGTATATGCTCATGGAGCAGACACACAAATAGTAGGGACATTGAAATACAGTATTCCAAATCATGGAAAACTGGGAAATTATTATTTTGTTTGTTTAGGCTTGGAACAAAAGCTTGTTTCCACAACTTTCCATGAAATGAGAGATCCTGAAAACAGCTTTCAATATTTTATGTTATATGGTGCATGAATTTCATTGATTTATTTACAGCATCCTTTAGAAATGCATGCAATAATCAAAGAATAAGTGATGAAGTTGTGTTAAATGAAATTTTCATTTTGCTGAATTTTTCATTTCTAGTTTTGAATTGCTTTTCTGATGCTTACTTCACTTCAGGTGAGCATAAGCATAACACCCCTTCCTCCCCTTGCCACTTTCACTCTAGAATAATTTACTGGCAAATTTATGGGGGAGATGAATCCACAAATGGTCACTGAGCTTGTGTTTGCTCTGAGTTGAAGGTAAATTTTAAATTTCTTTTCAGATAAGCTACTGACCTGATGAAAACCAGCAGAAATTAAGGATAAAACTCATAACACTCCTTCCCTAAATTCAACATTTCATCTGTTTTTCCTTTAAGTTCTTTGCTTTGGGGCAGCAGTACCCACCACCATTAACATATTTTGTTATCAACAGATTGGGATCACTCCTAGCCTTGGAGAAACTAGAGGTGGTTTCAAGGCAGTGACCTAGAGATGAGGGGTGCTTTATCTCATTAGAAGGTAATCAGCACTCTCTGGGCCCCTGAGGAATTACTGCTTCATCATTAGGTCCATAACCTAATAGAAAGAAAGCCCCTTGGAGGAGGTTTCCTGGAACAATAGGCAAAAGGCAATAGAGCAGTAGATAGGGTGTGCAATGGAAATTACTTTAAACCAGAGTCTCGAGGCTTCTCCTGATAAATTAGCAGCCAAGGGTGTATTTTTATATTCAGTGTATTTATTGCTTAGCCATCACAGTCACAACCTGTGTCCAGCACAACAGGAAGAGCAGCAACTTGTATGGAACTGAATCCAAATCTGTTATTTTATTTTCCCCTTCTGTACAAAATGCAAACTTAGAGAGGGAGGGGTGGATGGAAATGGAAAAAGTGCATGTAAACTGCTGCCTGTCCTTTCCTTGCCCTTTGGGTGATTGTCACATTGGGCCTTTGCAATCAGGTTCTTGGTTCCCTTTGTAAGGCTCCTCTCATTTCAGGTTAGTATTCATGTGGGGTGATGTTATGGTGAAGCAGCTTTCCTGGCACCTTCTGTGGGGTGCATGCTAACAGGGAGTGATGGAGAGGAGAAAAGATGATGGGGATGTCAGAGCCTGTTAACAGAGCACCCTGCTCTGCCCTTGCCAGCTTGCACTGCAGGAGGCCAGGGCTCTCTGCCTTACTGCTTCGTTCACCTCTCATGAAGAGCCTTTGTGAGGGGTGAGAGGGGCAGGTCCATGCCAGCAGTGACCACTGTACCCAGGGTAAGGGAAGAAGGCTGTTCTCCTGTGCCCTCAGGAAACTTCTAGCAAAGGTGGCTCTGCTGCGTTCAAGGACAGGCAAAACTGGACATAACACTTCTGCTGTAAGGACCAAAAGCTGTCCCAGAACAAAAGACACTCCTGAATACAGGGCAAAGGCATAAGAACTAATCAGCTTTATTGTCTCCCCACACCATTTGCAGCTTTGCATAATGGATTTCTCGTCCTTCCTTCCCTGTATACTTCTTGTCTCATATTTTCCCAGTGTAATATCTGTTATTATAACCATTGTTACAGCTGCATCTACAAAACCTGTGAAACCCTGGGGCAGTGCACATGTGGACTGAGAAGCATCTCGTCCAACTGTAGCTGTTCAAAGCTCTCTAAGCCTGTCGCCCTGGCTGTTCCCATCATCACTATAGGCAGACAGAGCTGTATCCAGAGAGGCCCATTTAATAAGGTTCCTTAAATAAGGGAAACTGATGTTTCTAAATTGCCCCTAGGAAGGTGTCCTACTTCTGACAGATGAAGTGTGACGTGCCTCATCTTCATTTCTTGCTGTGGCTTCACAATTCTTTGCAAACACCACTGACTTTCACTTTTCAGCCCTCTCCACTCTGAACTGTGACTGCCAAGGGATTAACACATGTTTTAGCATGAATCTTTTAAACTATATTTTGCTCCCTTTCATTCCACTTTCCAAGCATTAGAGGAGTAACTCTATAAGTGTTGATTAAAGCATTATCATGCTGAATGTATGCTCTGGCTTATGACCCAAACACACCCAGAACAACAGTCATGGTCATTCGTGTTCTCTGTGAAATGCTATGGAAACCTGTTTATGCTTCTAGCCTGCTGCATGTCTCTGGTCAGCCACTGCTCAAGGCTGTGCATAAGCCATAAAACTTATCCCTCTTTTTTTTTTCTAGAGCATTTCAAAACCAGGAATTTGAAATCACAGAATAAGCTGTGTTGGAAGGGACCCTCAAGGATCTCAGGTCCAACTCCTGACCTTGCACAGCACCATCCCCTAGAGTCACCCTGTGTGCCCAAGAGTTCGAGTGCTGCTTGAACTCTGAGGCTGATGCTGTGACCACTTCCCTGGGGAGCCTGTTCCAGTGCCAGTCACACTCTGGAGGTGGAATATTTTCCTGATATACAACCTACACCTCCTCTGACAAAAATTCTGGCCATTCCCTTGGGTCTTGTCATTGGTCAGCACAGAGCAGAGGTCAGTGTCTGCCCCTCCTCTTCCCCTTATGAGGAAGTTGTAACAGCAATGAGGTCTCTCCTCAGTCTCCTTTTGCTTTACCCACGCCAACACCCATAAAAAAAAATAAAAATTAACAAATCAGCATTTTATAATAGGAAAAAAGTTTCACTAGAAAGTTCCCAACCAACTCCATTGTTTTGTAGTTGTCTAGTTATTGTCTTCCCTGCATGAACAGAAGGCTTCAACCCTCCCTTTTATTAAATTATCGTGACTTTTTTCCATACAAGGATATTACATTCCATGTAATGGAAAATACACCAATTAAACTACTTGGAAACTTTTGATTCAATTATTTTTCATTTTAAAAAGACAGCATAAAAAAATCTGGGATTTGATGTCCCTATTTGATATGTCTTGTTTATATTTTCTGTGGAACATCCACTGTTTTAATAACTAAGCCTGTATACACTGAAATCTGCTCTCATCCTTATCTCTTGGCTACTGGCAGGAAGGCTGAAGCCTAACCCTCTTTTGAAAGATAAAATGACAACCTGGCCAGACAACCCAAGAGTATCTCAATTTTTCCCAAAGAGCGTGACTTTTACTGAGTTCTTGCTCCTTTGGGCTTCTGGCACTGCTTGGTCTTCCCATCTGTAATGGGAGCTAAGGTAGATCTGTGCTGGAAAGATTTAACTTCCTTGTTCCCCATTCTTTTATTAGGTTGCATTTCAGAAGGATGAATTT